CTCTTCCTTGCAGATCCAAGGAATTCTTTTTCAGGTTCCATTGTTCTCAATTGTGTACCTTCCCTTTCTTTTCCTTGAGGAATTATGATGGTGGCTGGACCATGCCAATACTACTTCCTGTGTTCCCATACCAGCTCTCAAACCAAATCTGTCTCTTCACCAATGCTTCCCTCTCAGATTGAGGCACATCTCTGTATAATGACATAACTTCTGGTTTTTGGACACAAAACAAATATTCACTCCATATCAATATGCTTGAACTTCTTGCTCTTTGTCAGCCATGTTCCGAATTCCTGCTGTCAGGGCTTTAAGTATGAGTGGGCTAAGGATTCTTCTACAGTAGGTGTCTTGTAACATGTTGGCGACAAATTCGACAATAAACGGAGAGCACACACTACACTTGTTTTAAAATATATTCAAAAGAAGTCAAACTATGTACAAAAATTCTTTACACTATGGATATCACAGTTGTATCTCAAACTCTAAATAATTCTCTTTTCTTGTCAAAAATCCACTTTGGTTGATTCAATTACTTTAGAAGCCAATTTACTAGATGAACTATTTTACTCTACTCTTATCACAATAGTATCGGTAAATAATTCACTTAAGTTACTCTGTGGGTTACCACAGTTGTATCCGGAACCTTAATAATTGTCTCCTTTTTGTCAAAGTCCACACAGGCAGGTTCAATTACTTTGACAAGACAAATTATTCTCTTTATCTCTATCAAACTGTGAAACTCACTTTAAAACATCAACCATTAAGATTAATCACTCGCATGCCAACTACCTTTACATTTTCTGACTCTCTCTATTTTTTTACTTCACTAGACTACCACTTGTTTTTGGTCACCGCTATTTGGAATTTTCTCTAAACTACGCGACCAGAGGATTTAACAATACTCAATTAAGGAAAGGAGAAAAATAGTGAAGGTTTGTGTAATGTGACATCAACAATATTAGTTAAGCCCTGACAACAATGTATTTCCAAACACAACATTAAACTGTTACCAAGTTACACAACCAAACTTGTCATGCTGTCACCTTTAATGATTAACTTTTAACTCTCTTGTTATGAAAAACTAAACAATCATTAAATATTAACTCACAAAATAACTCACTAAATAGTCTTGTATATCCAACACTTGCCCCTTCTGGTAGATCAGTTGCTCATGATCCACTCAGATATTTCTTCTGTCACTTCTTATGTCAATCATCAAGGGGCATGTGTTCCAGGAACCTTTGCTTTCAGGCATATAACTTACTCTTATGAGCTCATTCACATTTTGTTTGTTTTGTTGCCTGTCACATGCCAGGAGCTAAATACCTATTGGCAGACCATCTTTTTTGGACAGACCATGTTTTACCGATGAAGTGGTCTCTCCAATCCCAAGTCTTATGTTGGGTTTGCTCTTGGTTGAGAATGCCCCTCATATACATTATTGACATCTCTTTCAAATCCAATCTTCCACTTTTCTGGTCTGCTATTCCTCATCCTTTGGATTTGGCTGTTGAAGCTCTCAGCCTGGACTGGTCTTACCTTATTCTATGTCTACACTTCCTCTGATCCTTTCCATGATACATGACAATCCTTCTCAGGTCCTACTGTGGCACCTCTTTGGCTGATTCAGCCTTGATTTTTCTCTTTACTTCTTTGATTAGCTTCCAGATCCCTCCCCCTTTCATATACCCAATATCCCCACACTCATCTCACATGTCTCTTTTCCATCGAGAGATGTCATCACTACATCTTCATGTGGAATTTGTTTGGTTCATTGTCTGTCAGGGTGGACTTTCCTATCATGTAGTCCTCTTGTCATATTCCTGTTGCTCTCTTCCAGTGTGTCTGTCTATCAACAAAAGTGACAGTCTATTGACTTTGATCCATCTGTCACTCCTTTCCTCTCGGCTGTCCTACTGTGAACCATCTTTCTGCCTTTCTTAATTGGATGTTTGACCATGCTTTGTTGGTCTCCACCATTGATGGTTATTGGGCAGCATTTTCCACTACATTTTGCCTTTCCTGGTACCACAGTTTTTTCCCTTGTCCTCTCCACTTTTTCTTTTTCACGAACATCTTTGCCTGTTCAAGCCATTGGCTTCTTGCTCTTAGTATCACCTTTCTTTTGCATCTTATTTCTTCTTCCTTGCCTATGGTCACTGTCACTTGCATATCTATGGTAGTGATGCTTCTTTCACTCTCTCCAAAGCATATATATATATTATTATTTTCCAATCTCTTGCACCTCTCACTACTATGATCGATCAGACCCAGATCAACTCCTGTCTTTTTTGTGCCATTTGTACTTACTTATCATGAATATCTCTTTTTGAGGGCTCCCATCATAATTTGATCATATCCTAAAACTTCTCTTTTCCCAAGGAACTTTCTCCTTCTTTCCTTACTGGACGAATCCAAATCATTCAGATAGTATATTCTTCCCTGAATGTGGATGTTCACAACCTACTTCACATTTCTTTGCATCCGATTCATCACCTCCTTATTTTCTTACTTCCCATTTTCACCAGCTCTCGGACAAGATCCTCACTACATCCATTTTCACCAGCTCTTGGACAAGATCCTCACTACATGTTTGTCGCTTCTTCTCTACACCATTTAGCTATTTCATCTCCTCCACGATTTCAAGTTCCACCAGTCACCATATTTAAACCAACCCACCATCTCTGAGGTGAGCAAGTAATGTTCATTTTCATTTCTCTCCCTTTCCATCAAACAGGATCCTACCAAGTGGCTAGTGTTGTCTCATAGGGTATGCTTATTTCCCAAAATCCATATTAAGCCAGGATAATGGAAAACGTTTGCTCATCTGCCCTGGCTCTATCAGTGCCCTCTCCTTGATGGGGTGTTCTGCAAGACCACTTGTAGTATCCTCGTGGTATACAAACTTACTCAGTTATATGATCCAGACTGTACCAATTCTATGGACTCTCATGGGATAAAGCTGGCAACAGGGAAGTGAATGGGATCAGGGTACTTCATCAGTTCTCCCCATCATGAATTTCCCCCCCCCTCTTCAAGTGAAGCACAGGAGACCCTTGCTACTTACTAATTCCTAGCCACTGGGATGGTGGACCATGGAGAATCCTCATCTGTTGGGCTTAGCTCAATATGTTGAGAAGTAAGGTGATGGTGACACTCAGTGTAGTATGGGTCACCTCTCATACAGCTAATGTGCTCTCCTCCTGCAGCTAGTGTTTGTCCAGTAGATTAGGTAAGCACACACTGTGTGGTGTGATCGCACTTTAAACACACTACACATATTGGCTTGTCAACCACTTATGTCTAGGTGCTCGGTTGGTCATGATTAAATCCTGCCATCTCTATGACACTTTAGACTCTTTTGCCTTTCTTTTCCTTTCATCTTGGGTGAAGAATATACTTTGGTCAAAAAGCATTCTCTCACAGATGTGCACCTATGGAGCCTGTTCTATTAGATGTCACACCCCATGGACTTCCCTTCAGGCACTTTCTGAGGGTAGCTCATTTAGGTAAAATTTTACATTGGCTCCATCACTTCAATGTGGGATTATAGGATTTCTGTGTGAAGAACAAAATTATTGTCTCAGAAGTTAACATTTTCCTTATCTGAAAATGTATTTTTGATAGAAATTCACCTCCTTACACATTCTACATCAGACCTCCCCACTTCTGGTGCATTTTTTTCTCTTGCCTTGTATAAGAGTGAAGTAATCACAAATGGAATTCCATAGGGGGAGTTACTATGCATGGAGGTTATGTTGCCTTCCTATTGTTGGAGAGCTGTTGTTGCATTTAGGTGGAAGTTAGATCTCCTAGGCAGATGCACGAGGGAAATAACATTTGTGCGTATAAAAGTATCTTTTAGAAGTACATTTTCAGATTAGGAAAATGTTAACTTTGGAGATTCAGTGCCTACTTGTTTGTGAGGATTGCAGCAGACAACACATTTACATAACTATTGTGTATGTTTTTTACTTAGATTTTGGGTCAGGGTCAGGGTCGTCTTTTAACCCTAACTCACAGGGCTCAAGTGAAGCGGTTTGCTGCAGATCTCTTGCGAATTTTGAAATCTCAAGCCAGTAAGCAGGTGAAACTTTCAGAGCTAGCCTTGTTGTATGAAGAAATAATAGGGAAGAAATTTGTTGTTACAAATTATGGAGTATGTGAAATCTCTGACATTCTGGCTGAAGTAGCCGAAAGTAGTGTTGTGGTGAGTCAAGTTTTTACTGTTCTTTTTATTTATTCGTTCTGAAAGCTAAAATTACATATTTTATGAGATTGAGTTTGTGTTAAAGATTTAATTGATAAACATCCTTCAAAAAATTAGTAGAGAAGTTCTAACACTTAGATTTTTCTCTATGAATGTGTATGAATAAGTGATTGAAAATGTGATGTAATTAATTTATTATATAAATGCTTCCTTGTGGCTCAGTAGTAAGCTTGAGGCTTATAACACAAAAGTAGGGTTTGATACTTGCAAAGGTATTCTATCATGTACCTTTAAACTTAACAAGAAAATAAACATTCATAAATGTATAAAGGTCAATCATATTTTAGGTTAATAGCTTGTATTTAATAAAGTTTTAGATTGGTTAACATCCTGTAACAAGCCAAAATATAGATTAGGAAAAAAAAATTAATTAGAGGCCAACAGGTGAATGCAACATCTCCACCATGCAATCCCAACATGGCCAATTTTGATACCAGAAAAATCAAAAACTGTCTATATCACTGTTTGGGACCTGCAAGAAGGTATCTTTGTACCAAATTCCTTGCAAGTTGGTTGATATTCACATGAATAGTTCATAAAAACTCTAAATTTTGCTTTCTTTGCTGAAAAATAGAGCAAAAGACAAATTTCAAAATTATCTATATCTCCGTTTGGGACCTGTAAAAAAAGTATCTTTGTACCAAGTCCCTAGTAAATTGGCCTAATAACCTTTGACCCCATAAAATCCTTAAAGGCCTAAATAAATAAAGACTACCAGTGTCTGGGGTATTGGGACAAGGTTTAACTCTGCCATGTTTCAAGTCAATCTGCCAAGAAGAAACATTAGAAAAAGTCTCTGAAGAGACCTAAAATGCATGAGAGTGGCTGTTGACCTTGATAATTCAGTTAATGATGAGTTGCTGTAATCGAGCAATTTAATACAAAGCTGTATAGATTTTTACATTTAATTATTTTGCTTTCAAAGGCTAAAATATAAAATAATTAGAAATTTCAATAATAAAATATTTAACACATGTAAAAAAAAAACACATTAATTCTACTCGTGTTGTTCTCATGTTCTGCAGTTTAACATGGAGAACTGTTTGATTTGTCTTACACAATTGTGTAACAAATCTGAACATTTATTATGTTAGTGTAAATAAGGTTGTATGTTTGAGATGCTGCTATATTCTATTTGTTTGTATGAATTTCTGACAGATTGACAGTACATCAGAAGAGACTGTCATTGCCATTCCTAAAAGAGGTGAGTGAAAACTAAAGTTAAGTTGTTTTTTTATAGTGTTGCAGAGCAGTAGTACCTAACTAACTCATTTACATACCATCCAGTACCACTGAGATCCACATGTTGCATCATATTAAATAATTTTGTTTGTCTGTCCAACGTTCAGTGTTAAGAAATAACCAAAAAATTGAGTGAAATCAACCATGCATGTGATATGTAAGAAACCTTGGCAGTAATTAGTTGAATTATTTGTGATATTGATTGTGTTTTTGTGTGATTTTTAGTTGTGGTAATTTGTTGTGAATTTGTATTTAATGAATGGTTAAGAAGAATAAACCAGTGATTGATTATTAATCAATTATTGGTATCAGTGTAATTATTTACAGTCCTATGTAATTACTGGTTTGATGAATATTGTTGAATGTTGATTAGTCTGGATTTTTCTGCTGTGGGATTCATCATGATAGTATGACCTAGGTTTAACTATTATCAATTCTACATTGTCAGGCCCACTCATTAGCCAATTGCTAATACTCAGGCATATGGTGGCAAAGTGTGTACACAATGTCATGTGTAATTAAGATGAGTGAGAAAAGAAGGGAATTTTACCAATGTATAGTTTTGCTGGAATCACTTAATCATAAACGTTATATATTTTTTTCACTTGTTTGTTACAATTGATTATTGAAATATTAAGCAACCACTTGGGTTGAGTTCAGAAATTAACCAGTTTTTGGTATAAGTTATTGCAATGCATTGCTACTGATTTGTATGTTAGTTTCCCTGTAACCACTAAGTCATGAGGCCACAAAACTATGAAAATTAAACCAAATGGAAAGATCAGCTTCTCTTTATTTGTTGTGATGATTAATAACAGTATATTGTACATCAAATTAACTTTAATATTATGTAAATTATCACCACTGAAAAAAGCTATACAATGATCTATCTGTTAAGCCTCTTTATAACCCCTTTTTCCAGCTCGTGTTTTGATTGGTCTGTAACGTTGGAACCATAATGATAGACAAAAAAACACCCGACTTTTTTGTATTTTGTATAAAATTTAAATATTTAATTTATTGTACTGTTTATGAAATCCAATTCATCACAGAACAAACCTCAGAGGAAATAGAACGAACCAAACAATTCAGTGCCGAAGTGGTTGAACTTTTGAAACATAGCCCAACATGTTCCATGTCATTCAACAAATTTGTCCCAGCATATCACCATCACTTTGGCAAGCAGTGTCGAGTCTCAGACTATGGCTTTACCAAGTTGATTGAACTGCTTGAAGTCATCTCTGATGTCTTAAAGGTTGGTTGAGTATTTGTTGCTCTAAGCAGTATATAAAATTGTTTATCTAAATTGTGCCTGTACTAAATTTATTTTTAAGCTGTTAGTTGCAGTCATGGCTTATGTAGTCATGATAGGTTTTTGGTGAAAATATAGAATGTTGGTTGTTCAGTTATAATTTACAAGTCACAAAAGAGTAGCTTTTAGATGTTAGAAAGTGAAATGACATGAGCATTGCAAGGAGTATCCTTCTCATTAGTCATTGTCGGAGTTAGATTAAAATTCATAATAAATTATTCAGTCTTGCAAAGTTAGAAATAAAGTTGAACTTTGAGAAGTTTTTTTACTGGCAGTGATATTTTTGAAGAACAGTAATTATGAATGTTTCATAAAATATTTTTCTTCCATTAAATGTTCACATATCCAAATCTCAGATTTATTATTTAAGTTGTGGCCTGTTAATATTGGTACTTTGTTTCAAAAGATTAAAATGCAGTTCTGACAAGTTTTTGACAAGTTAATATTAAAATTAATAATGTACTGTTTTTGTTTTGATTTGATAATATTCAAATTTTTTCGGTCTTGATTTTTCTCTGAAATTTGTACAAAGATCATACTATCAATGAAATCAAAGTATTTTAATACTATTTTTATGTAGTTGAACACCAATTAAATGTGGTTTTTGTTTGTGTTTTAAGTTTCCCACCTGCCTCATTCATACAGTTTATATATTAAGTACTATCAACTTTGTTTCAGGATCTTGTTTAAAAAAAGTTGTACAATTTTTTATAATGTAAACTTTAACAAATCATTTCAAGTAATACTGAAACAGCTGTTATTGTGGACTGAATTTGAAAAGAATTATAAGTTAAAAAAATAGTTTGATTATAAGCAGCTACAGAAAGAGAACTTAAATACTTAGTGGCTGTCTGTTGTTGTCATGTTGGATATTTGAAGTGACTGCTCAGTAAAAAGCTGTAGCACTGTGGGATTACCTACTTTCAATTTGCCGTGAAAATTGCCTATAATGGCTATTTAAAAAAAAAAAAAGATTTCTTCCAACCTGAACCACTCTTGTATTTTAATGTTTTCATATCTGTTAAAAACAGGACTTTTCTTCTTGGTGCTGGTAAACAATACCTATATTTTGGGAAATTTTGGAAATACTTAAGGTAGCTCTAACCCTTAAACTTGGCAAATTTACATGCTGAAAGTACACTGTCATATATGTATAATTAATGGGACAGATACATAACAAACTGTTTTAGCATCATAACTTTACCTAGAAATGATAAGAATGTGGAAATTGATACACATGTTCTTTGTGAACATCCTCATAGCTTGAATTAAAAACTTTGGACATTTTCTGCAATGTTAATGAGCTCTTGGTAATTAATTTTAATTAATACCTTAGTTAGTGGTAATTAGATTCATAAAAAGACAATTGGTAAAGATTTTTGAATATTAAAAAAGTCAAGTTATGAGGATGTTCACAGAGAGCATGTGTATCAATTTTCACATGTTTTTATCATTCCTAAGTTGTTATGGTGTTAAAACAGTTTATGTATTTCTTTATCCTGCGACATCATACTCTTGTTTTGTGCTCAACTTGAAGGTTGTAATAAATGTTTCCTTGCCATGTAAATTTGCCCAGTTTTAAGTGTCAACTACCTTGAGAAACCTCTTTGATCCCAATAATATTAATTTGTGAGCTTCAGTTTGGAAAATTGGTTCTTATGTTAAGAAATGTTTTTCTGGTTAATGTGAGCCTATAAAAGCTTATGTTTTCATGTTATAGCCTACTTGTTATTAATTCCAGGCCTCCAAATCCATTTGTATCTAATTATAAACATTACACAAACATATTTTTTTATAATTGAATAGAGTTGTTTAAACATTTGTTTAACAACAAGTAAAAGCTTTCTTTTCTATTCTTTCATTGGGGGGAGGGGTGTCTGTGAGCCAGACTAGTTTCGGAGAATTCCACTCCTCATCAGTGACCCTGATTA